CTGGTCGAATATTTCGAATGATCAAGATGTTATACAGCATGTAATCAACGGCAATGTGTTATCTCGACCATCGAACTGTAGTGAACAATATTGGGTGATTATTCTCCAAGCATGGTCACTACTACCGAGTAATCGACCAACATTTGAGCAATTGAAACAACTTCTTATCAATCAAACCGAGCTTGGAGGTATTTCATTTGTATTTAAATTAAAATGTTCGATAAGTTAGCACAAAAAGACCAGTTGAGTATGTGGGTGAAGATCTTCTCTTCATCTATCCATCCATCTAAAGCCAATGATGCATGTGTTCTCACACTTCAATATAAGCTTCGATTCAATATGCATTCGTCACAAAAAGGAAAATGTGAAAAGAGCAAAAGAATTCCTATCATAGTCACAGTGACAATATTGATGGAAATCATTAATGTGATTGATTGAATTCAAGTTCAATCTGATCAGACTTCTCAACCATTCCAGTTTAGATGAATCTTAATTCTGCTTGGACAGTTAGATTACATCTTGAATCTTTGTGGCTAGACTACGAAAAAAGCCATTTCTTGTTTTTCTCTAAAGACATAATATCTTTAGCCATTTTTCAATAATTATCTCTTTCATTGGGTTTATTCTTACTTCAGTATACACACGATGTCGAAATTCACAACTCGAAGAACAAAACACCCCCTGCTCGACTCGTTCATCAGTATATTTGCAGAAACAACAGTCAATTGATGAAGATCTCGAGTTCGCAATCATAGATTCAGTCATCAATCAACAGCGTAGCGAGTGTTTGTTGATACCTGATAGAATCTTACCACGCAAACTGTCAATTCCAGCCGATGCAATTCCAAACAATATTTCGTCGATAACACAGATCCATCATCCTGTTCGTGAATCTTCGAAACAACCTCAATTATCTTCTCATCGGTATTGAGTTCACGAGAAACTTTTCTCAATTTGTGACACTTACAAAATCAAAGATGAGACTGACAAAGATATATTCATTATCCGATCGAAAATCTTTTCCATCAGCATCGGTGATAACCTAACATTAGAAGACATGTATGGGAAGTAAGTTCTATCTAGATAAGTACATCAAGAGAGTTGCTACTCGTAGAAATACAGTCAAAAATTATTACATATTTCGAAACCAGTTCATGTACTACTTTTGACTGTCTGGAAGAAAAACAAAGTCTAATCATTGTTGTTTCGACTACTTGTATCGTTTTCCTTTTTTTTAAATCTAAGTTGTTGCTTTCTATTTTTTTGTATAGTCGTCTGATCAAGATTCGTGAAGAATCATGCCATTTCCGGTATCCTCTCATTTGCGAACATACAGTCGAAAATTCAAAGTTCATTAAATTAAATTATACTTCATTTTCTAATTAATTTGAATTTTTCAGATTAAAAGCGATTGAAAGTGTCAAATTTTCAATTTTTAATTGGTTAAAACTCATTTCATGAAAAGAACTCCGAAAATTAAAATTGTTTGCTTTTTTATTGCATATTTTTTACTGAAACGAATTTTAAGAACCATTTTGTTTGAAGAATTAAAGTTTGTCGAGTTCGCTCTTCTTTCTACGTTATTTCTATATTTTTTTAGAAAGGTGTAGATTTCGCTCTTGTTTTCGATGCAATTTCTACACTTTAGTTTAGAGAGATATAGAGTTCGCTTGATATATGCTTGCAGAGTTTCGATGTATTCAGCTGTTATTAGTAGAATGCGCTAAACTACGGCGTGCTCTTCTCCTTTTTCTAAATTCAGTTTCATATTTAGAGTTCATTAGACCGAATTACCAATATGAACGTCATAAGTTGTTTTTCTATTGGAACTCTATGTAGTTTCTATACTAACATAAGATCAACAGTCCATTGAAAAGAAACTAACTGGAACCCAAAAATATAATTATTCAACAACGAAAACTGTGGAAAAAATGTAAACGAGACAAGAGTTAGGTGTTGGTATTCGAGTTCTCTTCAAACACGCGTCCACCAAGGTCACACTTTGAATGAATATTGAATCATGTTTGTGGAACATCAGAGAAACAATTCAAAATCTCCTTCGATCTTCATCAAAAATTTCTGTTTTTTCGCCCCTTGCTCGAGCTATATTAGGGTTCGTTTTTCAATATGACAGTTAAGTATATCACCTTCCTAAAAGCGTTCCTGATTAAGATTAAGATTCATAGTACTTAAACTAAATCTATGATCTTGATACGTTCCAAAAAAGGTTTTATAAAAAAATCGCATGCGATCAATCTATTTCAGTGACCTAGTCTAAAATGCGACAAGAGTTCATTGGCGTTTCTTAAAACAATTTATTCGACACTACATCTCACTTATAAAATCTTCTTTTTGGTGAAGCAGCAAAATTTATAATTAATTCAGAGCTGATAAAGCTTTCTGAATCAAATACCTTGAAATGTGAAACTAATTTTGCTTTGTTGTCATGTTCCTACACTAATCTTCCAAAATGAGAAGTGACACTTTCAGACCGCATTCCCTTAGCTTCAAACAGACTACATTCGACACTTCTAAATCTTTTTTACATTCAGTTAGATTTATGCCAGATGTTTTAGCTAACTCTATATTTTTCTAAACTTTATGCGATTCGAACTTGAAAGCGAAAATTGTTAAATATGAGTATTTATCAATTAAAACTTGAGATTTAAATTAATTAATCTTTTGTAGTTTTCGAAAAACAAATAGTTTAATTTCTTAACTTTAATGTTGACTGGAGTTTAAAGTTTTAATTATATTTTTAAATTTTTTTTGACTTATGATGGCAAATGAGAAGTAGCCCTCGAAGTGGATTCATTGCAGCATCGAGATGCCGAACAAAACACAGCGACAAGATAATGAACGAAATAAAATGAAACCACATTGTTAGCATTTGTTTCACTTGTATAATACTGTCGATATTCACCTTTATTCATCGGAGGGCCGAGAAATAAATATGATTCGAATAAAATAACAAGCATTTACTTTCGAGATAATATATAAACATTAATCTATAATTTTTTATTTTTTTCTCACTATCCTAATGACTATGATAGCCTAGAAATGCTATGAAGGGTTTTAAAGGAGTGTAAAACGGAATAACAGGTAAGTTCGCACTGTCATGTTTACAATTTAAAAACGGTAAGATCGTATCGAACCTTTTAGAATGGTCCTGATTTACTCTAGATGACGTTCGTGCCTTTATAGACTCTTCTCGTGGGTGTATTTGATAGATCATCATGATTTACTATGATCGTCGGAAAGTGATTTTGCGATCTCATATGCGACGTTTTTCATTGCCGACCGATTACTGCCTTTTCTCCTGCTCGTAGGACCGAAATACGAATAGGAAGACCGAATTATTTTCCATACAGCATGCTTTTCAATGTTCGATAGCTACTCTTGTTTTATTCAAATCATGAAATCATTTTCATCATTTTAAGCAGTGAGCGACGTTTGGACGGTCTCGAAGTTGTACCAACATCAGTGGCGTTCTTTTTGCATTGATATGGTTCGAAATCTTCATAGTCCGGTAGTTTTGGAAGATCAATCCAGGTTATGTTACCACCATTGTCATAAACAAGAGTTTTTGAAGTCGAATTGTAGAAAGTTTGCCAATCAGCAATGGATTGTGTTGTCCATTGACGATCTGTTAACCATTTGACAATGCTATTGTAATCCAAAGGTCTACAAGATAGAAACATAATTCAGACAGATAAATGATAGCTTCACTGACATTGAATTATTTGTCATTTGCGCCCATGCTTCCATCGAATTGGTCATCAAACAAAGGTGTAAATTATTCATACGTGGATAGTAAGTAAACATGTGTAAACACATTTCGTTTCTCGTTGCTTCTCCACCCTAGATCATTACTGTGCCTAGCTTTTGCAAATTTCACGAATAACCACTCACCAAAGTGACGACACTCTTGTTGGTTGTACTGTAGATACATCGCGTTGCTAATTCATCACCCTAGAATTATCTTCATCATCGAACGACTGAAACAAGGTTAGATAATACAAACCGGATACAATGTAATTGGTTGAGGTAAACGATTCTGGAATTGATAATTGAAAGTGTAGGCATCACCATTGAACAGATATTGAACTGCTTTCTTATTTCGAATGATCTTTGTCCAGACACTGCGTCCTAGAAGCGAGAATGTTGTCTCTTGTAAAAGAATTACCCGTTTTCTGGTACCTTGAAGATGAGTGTGTGGAAATGCTGCAACCACAGTAATGCCCGTCGGTGGAATATTCTATCGATAGAAGGAATCAAATTGAGCTGAATCAAATCATAAATAACTCACTTGAGTGACCAGAGTAGGACAATAAGAATCGATAACTAAATGATCATCATATGGTGGAATGGCAATAGCAGTGGCGTCTGAATCTTGACCCAATGTCAGATAGCCGATATCATATTGGCGAAGTTCATTGCTCAGATAGAATCGCATACCAGAGCTGTCCGTGCGATCTAATTTATTAGACGATCTAATTTTTTTCAATCTCAATTAGATTTATTGCTTTACTTGACATTTGATGTATATTGTTATAGTGCATTTGAATCACATAATATTTGATTTCAAAATCACCTCCAACAGGATATCCAGCTACTTCAGGGAACTCATTGATCTATTATCAAAAGAGCATTCTTTGTTTCACTAAGAAGTCTTTTCTTTTAATTCAAAACTAACATAATCTCCACCAACAGCCCATCCGGTGGCGATATTCGATGTGCAAGGTATAAGAACTTCGCCAAGATCATCACATATACCAGAAGGCAAATTGTTATCATCGAAGACAGTTGATGGATTGCATTCATACATCAACATATGATGAACAATGTCGATATTGACTGGATCAATGATGGATTTATGCTAAAACACAACACGATTTAGGCATCGAGTGAGATGATAGGATCGATCTTTCTTACAGCAATAGCATGCCTTCGTTTAGGAAACTTAACTGGAATTTTGTAGACCGTACAGTGATAGGTCGTCTCGTTCGATGGTACTGAATACTGAAAAACATCAATGCGGAACATTGCTACGATCGTCTTCAGCGCAAATGATATGACTTACGTTGTGCAGTTGGAAATCGAAATAGTCGAGGCCAGAAAATTTGCTCTCTGGTGGTGGATTTGCATATGATTGTAATGGAATCGCTCGAGTATATCGACGATCGCCATGATACTTGATCGTCGCTTTTCCATCAATTATAATAGGATCTTCGAGACTGTAGGCATAGATCACAATATTGGTTCCGGACTATACAATACAAATTTTATCTTCAACATGTATCAAAAGAGGCATACTTTGATAGGATAATCCATGATATCGCAAGTGTCTAAGAGTCGTTTGAACTGAATGGCTGTCCATCCGTTCACTTCGCGACCTTGCAATCCAAACCAATCTTGTGTTGTGCTATCCACCATCGGCTGGTAAAAGCCGTATGCATATCGATCCTATTGATCAAGTGATGAATGAGAGAATGAAAGAAGAAGAATGTCTACTTCAAAATGCAGTTGACCCGATTGATCGATCCATCCCAAGCCGATATCAGCACCAATCATACCACCAGCTATGTATGAGAGATGAAAGAGATCAGGATGAGAATGAAACTGATCATACCTGGACTGATACCAAGTGCAATCCAGCCAGTCGTATTGACGTGAAATTCAAAAGTGATCTCCTTTTGAAGATTGTCGATCGACCACCAGAGATCAGCAAAACTGGGTTGCAGTTCCGTAGCATAGGTATAATTGGTGTATGGTGGAATGGGACTGCTGATAGCATCGAGATGCTGTACAACACCCACCAATAAAATGACAAAAGAAAGAAAAGAAAACCACATGATATGTGTGTACGTTTCAGTTGGACAATAATGTCGATGTTTGCGCTTTTCTACTGGCAAAGATGCAGTATAAATATGAATGGATGATTTTAAAAATATTTGTTTTATGATGCTATGGAAATATTAACCAATGGGCTTTCGTTCTTTTCTCACTTTTTTCACGAGTTGGATTGCTAAGAGTTTGCTTGAATGAGTAATGCTGAGTTGCAACATGGACTGATATGAAAATCTCTTATCTATTTTAATAGTTACTCATCGAATGAGTATGAAAGTTGCATCATCACATACGTTGTGTAAATATCATTTTGCAATGTCAACTCTAATGTCAGATTCTGTGCGTCATCTAGATAGCAGTGTTACCTCTGCAACATTTTCCAGGCTAAAAAGAGAGTGGAAGTGAAAGATGATCGGAATGATTCGCAATATGCGTCTCAAGTCACGTTTATCATCATGTTTGGACATCACAGGCAAAGTCTATTGGAGATGAAGTTTAATTTCATAGCAGAGATGAATTCAGCAGGGTTATATGTATCGGTGCAGAGGTTTAGTTCACTTTTTGTCCATCGTAAACTGGTGGTTTTGGATCACTGGACAGTTCCATGAATTGTTTCTCGAGGGTGGGTGTGGGTGTGGGTATGAGTATGGGTGTAGGTATATTATTTATCCACACCCACACCCACTCTTTCTATACGTGTTAGAAAACGCATGTTTCGTGCTTCAACTCCCAGGTCCCGAGCCTAGGTTCTACAAGTAAATCAGGGGAGGAGCGATGGGATCGCCATGTACACAGGTACTTGCCGATATTTATGTAAGAAAATGGGAAAGTGAATTTATGAAACAACAGCAACAACAAGGAGAGCTCTATTTTCGATTGAGAGACGATTGTTTTCTGACCAGCAGATTACCACCAGAACATATAAAACGTACTTTAACAGAGCTAGGAAAAACAGATGTCAATTTACAAATCACATGGGAAGATGGAAAAATGATCAAATATCTTGATGTAAAAGTGATAATTGAAGTCCCCAATTTTCGAATCACCGTATTCAGGAAACTAGCTGCACAATCATATGTATTACCGTTCCACTCGTCACATACTCTTCGTATCATCAAAAATATACCATTCACAGCAGCCCTACTGGCAACACACATTTGCTCTTATCCCGAAGACATAAGTCGTGAACTAGAACAGATAAGAATCATGTTTTTATGGAACAAGTATCCTCCAGGATTCATCGATAAGCATATCGGACGTTTTTTTCAAGATCTAACAGGAAATCCAACACCAAAAATACTTTTAGGAAAAGACCACGCAAGCCTAAGAGAGAAGGTACTAGACTTGGCATGGAATAAAGAAGAAAAAAAGAAGGCGGATTTCAATAAAAAGATGTTCATGCACTTCTCGTACGCCCGATTCTTACATAATTTCGGTACACAATTTCATATGATATGGCAGGAAATTTTTGAAGGAACACCGCTCGACGACATTCCTGCAGTTTACGCCGACAGACTCACAGATAGTCTAAAACATCTTTTAATACAAAAAAAGCCTGAGAAAAAAGCGATAAAATTATTTCCAACAGAAGATAATTAAATAAAGAAAAACAATTTTTTAAGAAAGAAATTGCTTTAAATAATTGGTTAATAAGCAGTACGAACAAAGATATTCGAAAATGTTTACGAACAGACTTTTTACCAACGAAAAAGTGTTAATTCTTCATTGATATCAAACGTACTATAACTCGTGATCGACTGCTCTAAAATTGTTGTCATATGATTTAATATTGCATTCTCGTTAGACTATTGTCATATATTCTAATATTCCTGTTTTTCTAGATAGTTGTCATAAATTCTCTCTAGATGATTGTCATACAATATAATATTACCTTCTTCCTAGAATATTGTCATATATTTTAATATTTCCTTCTCACAGATTGGTTGCCATATATCATAATATTGCTTTTTCGCTAGATCACCACCTTATATTCTAATATTGCTTCCTATCTAGATTCCTACCAGATAAGTTTTTAATATTGCTCTTTCTTCATTTCTAATTTGGACAAATTTTTTTTTCTTACGACGTTATATCAATTTACATTATCCAACTAACAACACTTGTTGCCATTCGATCTACATTAAAAATAACAACCATTATTCAAAGCAACTAAATGAAAAAATAAAAACTCAATCGGAATAAACATTTACGGTCATTATAACAAAAACCATCGTCAAACAAATCAATCATCAACTAGTACAATGAACTTCAACTATAAGTTGGGTCATCATCAATAATTTATAATAGATTCTATATATTATTCTATATATCAACTAAAAAATGGCTTATTATATACGTCATACACTGATTAAAGCTCCATGAAAAATTGGATCATCACCAAAAATTGGCCACTGATTCTATATATTATATATTTCACATATTATCTACAGCTTTATTATACACATCATATGATGATTAGGACTTCTTCATACATTGCAATTATTTACAACTGAACATTACTTAGCAATTGCTTATAAAAATAATTTGCAATTCATTCTATATATGATTTACAACTTATTCTGAACATTCTCCCACCAATTAGTTCTCCAATTAATTCTCCACGATGTTTACAACCTATTGTATACCGATTTTGCGATATTTTTGAAAGATTTTTCTTCATAACCACCTATTTGTTTCTCAATATCATATATAACTGACCTTATTTGCAAAAATCACTTGAAAAAGATAAAAATTCGAAAGGCCTCGTGTTACTCACTCATACTTTTTGTTTCTAAATTATACTTCTCATTATTTTTCTTTCTTTCTTTCTTTCTTTCTTTTCTATTCTTATCGTTTCGTTCAAGTAAAAGATTTAAAAAAAAACTTATAAAATTCAATTACTATTTATATATTTATCTTTCTTATATTACTCATTTTAAAAGAAAAAGAAAATATATATATATATATACATTTATCAAAAGATAGTTGTTCTAAAATTTACGAATAATGTTGAGTTGCCACATTTAAAGAAAAAAAAAAGTTTTATTTTATCTTAATGAACATCTCTTGTGAGATATGAAGTTACCATTCATCTGTTAAAATTTCTTTCATTCTTTGATAATGTAGAATATTTAATAATGTTATAAGTATTTTAATTAATAGAAAAAGTGACAATAAGAATATACCAACACCAACGATTAATGTATAATAAACGTTTCGTTTATCTTCGATAAATATTTCCCCATGTAAAAACACACATATAATAGTAAATAAGTTTGATGTATGAAAAAGCTTTGATGCTTTTTCAAAAATGATCACAATACATATTGTATTGAAAACACAAATGATAAGTAACAGATTTTGTAATGGATCTAAAGTATCATTGTATGATGTTTTAACACGTCCGTAATTTTTCAAAACATGATTTATAATGTGATCAAAATCAGAATAGTTAAGGGAAGACCAACATTTTTCACAATTTCTATCATTGCTGTGTGTGTGTGTGTGTGTGTGTGTAGGTGTGGGTATGGGTGTGAATGTAGTGTGGCGTGCCGTATGAGTGTGGGAGTTTCTCAGTCGCTACGTACATCCACATCCACACCCAATTCAACAATTCACACTCTCTTCTGATATGAAAATGGACTCAGAAGCATAAGGAAAATTTATTCTTGTCACCAATCTTTGCTGTTTGCACATCGGAAGAAAGACAAAAAAGCTCATAGAGAGATAATTAAAAAAGGGGATAGCAAGTTCCTTGCATGACATAAAATGTGAATTGTGCACTGACAGTTTGTTCAATGATTTACAAAGAGTAAGATTGAAAGTGTATGTTTGCATCTTGAGTTTGAACTCAAATTTCGGCTGAAGTTCAACTCATTGCAAGTTGTATGTCATAGAATTTTTTTTCATGCTATTAGTGTACTATAAGTCATGTGTGATGTTCCTACTCTATTTTGTGAATGACTCCGGTGTCAATAACACTTCAAATAGAATTCCTCCAAGTCAAATCAATCGATATTTCCTTCGATGATGTAAGTGTGGGGAAAACTAATAGCCGCACTCACATCCGAATTGGTCATTTCAGTACTTTGGCTTCGATCAAAAAAGTTGCCACATCTTCGAAAATATAATCTACGACTATTTTTTCTTCTTTGTTTTTTTGTCAAAGCACTGGTTTCACACAGAGCAAGAGATAAGACATTCATATTTATCTTGGTATGATTATTTTCGTTTGTCTAACAATGGAAGAGTGTGACCTGTTGAGCGAAAACCTTAGACATATTCGGATCAAAAGAAAGCTTTCAACGAAAAACTAACAAATTAAAAATATGAGCTGCGTATGGCGTTCCTAGACAAAGATCCTTGAATCTCAAGGTTCGTGAAATTTAGGTATAAAAATGAATCAGGAAAGATTTTCTCCACTATTATTAGGACAAAACATAGCGTTGTTCGGGTCGATTATGGGGTTTGTAGGGATCCTCTTTCATATGGCCCGAACAACACCATGTTTTGTCCTTATAATAGTAGAGTGAATTTTTTGGTGGTTGATAGAAAACTCTGTTTTCTATGAGCTACAGAAAAAATTCACTCTACTATTATAAGGACAAAACATGGTGTTGTTCGGACCATATAAAAGAGGGTCCCTACAAATCCCATAATCGACCCGAACAACGCTATGTTTTGTCCTTATAATAGTGGAGAAAACTTTTCCTGATTCATTTTTATACCTAAATTTCACAGACCTTGAGATTCAAGGATCTTTGTCTAGGAACGCCATACGCAGCTCATATTTTAAATTTGTTAGTTTCTCGTTGAAAGCTTTCTTTTGACCCGAATATGTCTAAGATTTTCGCTCAACAGGTCACACCCTTCCATTGTTAATAATTTATCTTCAAGTTCAATTAGTTCCTTTTCCTCTAGCAGTAATATCGTTTACAAATTTATCTTTGTCAGCTTTGAATGCGGATTTTTCTCAATTCTATTATATTTGCTTTTGAAAATATTTTAGAAGTATAATATGGTTTAGGTAATTTAGTTTTGATATAAAATCGAAAATCTTGAATATATTCAACTTCATAATCACTTAATTTAATATATCAACACGATTCATACATTTAACAGTACGTATTAAAAGATAATTTAATGATGGATCAAGTTCTTCTTTAATATTTCGACAAGATATACAGGATCAGAAATGAATACATAAAATGTAAATAATCAGATGTTAGAAGATCAATAAGATGTAAATTATTTAACATTTTCATATTTATTTTTATTCTTTTTATCGTGTGAGCTTGTGAATCAATTATTCTAATTAAAACAAATACAACATTTTTAGCTTAAAAAAAAACAAACTCTTACAAAAGCCATCATGTTTCATGTATAACAATCACTCGAATTCTGTCTTGAAAATATATCTGATGGCAAATCTTAAACATTCTAATATCGGGGTACAGGTGGGTATAGGTGGTGGAATCTTGTCTTCAGCAACGCCCACACCCTATTTTCGGTTTTATCACAAGTAAATATCGAATAAATTTGTTTTTATGTATCTAATATGAGTTAATTTAGTTAATGGAACCTAGTGCTGCTTCTTCAGATATGTATATTGTAGTGATAAAATGGCTACAATCGTTTTAGATCAAAGTGCTCTTCAAATTTCGAAGGAAAGAGCAACAAATTAATTGATTATTTAAAAATTTTGATTAAATTTTTGTGTATTTAGTCAAATGGCTTTAATTCGCATATCTTGGTTTATTATGTAAATTTTTTTTTCGAAACATATGAGAAAATATCCTGATTCACTTTTACGTGGTCAATATTTTAAATATTTTTCATTAAACTCTCTTCAATTTTTTTAGTTAGTTAAACATGTTCTTAAATTTGAAATGTTAATGACTGCAAGTTCAATTGAATGTTTGACTGATTATCTTATTAATCTTACTCTATCATCAATATCTCGTAAGATTCTATCGAAATAAAACACTAAAAATCTCTTCATTTAATCATATAGTTCATTCAAATTCACTTTTAATTCGAAGTCAAAATGAAGAAGATAAACGTTTAAACGAAGAACATATTCGATGTGGATTAGATTTGAAATGTATTTATATTTATGCAACGCATTCAATACAAACATAAGATCAAAAAAATTTAAATCGATATGCATTATTTTTTTTATTAAGAAGAAATTTTATTTTCAGCCTGTCTAGAATTATTATAGGTAGTTAATACATTGAAAGAACGTCGACGTATTGTACAAGTTTTTCAATATTTTATTAAAGAATTTCGAGATAAGATTGATACATCAGAATTAAAAATTAAAGATTTAGCAATGGGAATTTTCATTTATGGAATTTTAGCTAATGCAAGAAGAGAAGACAGTTTTGATCGGGTGATGTTATTTGTTGAATAGACTTGTAAAACTTTAAGGTACAGAAGAAATGTTAAGTTTGAGTTTGTTGGTTTAATTCAACGTTGTGAACAAATTGCAATGTCAACCATGATATTATCTCAAGCATTAGATGTATTTGATGAATATTTTTATGGTTTACTGAATTTAATTGATACTCTTCTATCTATTATTATTGTAATGACAAATGTAAAAAAAAAAACACACTTTTTATTTAAATATAATTAAATTCTTCTTTTTAGATTGAAGAAGAATTGCTTGTCCTACTTGCACATTTAACTGTAATAACAATTGATTATTATTAAGCTACACCACAAACAACAACATGTTCATCTGTTACTAAAATTCTTTTAGGCTTTCCAAACAAAAACAAATTCCTATAAACCATTTTTTTTATCTCGAATTGGTATTATTTGATTGTTTTTAAGTTTTTTTGTTTTTAATAAATTTATTTTCTTAAGCAATTATTCGTTGTTGCTCACATCTATTAAAACCAACTGTTGAACAACAGTGACAAGTTTCTCAACCTGATATATCTGAAGAAAATACAAAATCTCTTTTATCAATTGGTAAAACTATAAAATAATATTACAAATGGCGTTTCATTAAAAGAATTTCCTACAGGTGTATTTTGATCGATTAAATTTGAATGTTGAAAAAGGAAAATTCGAAGTAATGAAAATGAAAGATTTGATTAGTTTGATGTTAAATTTAGGAGGAAGATAAAGATGAAACTACTACAACTGATCCAGTTTTTTGGTATGAAACCTGTAAAACTAAAAGATTTTCAAATTTTTTTAATAATCTCGTCGATTTCTGTCATTATGGTAATTATATATGTATTTTCAATTTTCTATTAATCTAATAGAGATCTATTGGTTGATCGAATTTCAGAATTTTTCAAAAATGGATATTTAGATTTTTATATGATATTATTACAGCATCAAAAAAAGTTTGTTGATATTTTCTTATTTATCAATATTAAAAGTATTCTTATTTTGATATCCCTTAATTAATAATATATATCGATTTGCTGCATTTTTGTGAAAAAAGTTATTCTTTTACTCAACTGATCGTAATGCAATTGAGATGGTGGATATTGATATAAATAAAACAGCTGTTTGTGGATTAATTCGATGTTTTGCACATGAAGTACTATCTCGTCAAAAATCATATCAGAATGATTTACTTATATCATATTTACAATTTATTATATCATTACGATCAGAATGTATTGATTATAGTTTTGCTAATTATATACTATCTATTCAAGTACAAAGATGTTTTTGTTTTTCCATGAATAAAAATAATTGAAATATTTTAGTTGGCTTTAAGAGATAATCAATATCAACATTAGTAATGTTACCGAATTTTATGATCAAATATTTCCTTATCTTGATGATTTTCTTCGTGTATCTTCTGATGTAATTAAATATTTAAATTATCATTAATTTTAGGTTCACCAAAACGAATACTTAAAAAACAAAACTAAACCAATAAAACATGTAAATTTTTCATGTTTAAACCGATAAACACTCGAAAAAGATTAGGAAGGTACGGATTACATGTTTTATTTTACCTGAACTAAAATCAAAGTTTTATTAGAATGACAGTCTATATTGATATTGTTTTTTCCAGCTTTTTCAAGATATTCGTCATGTGGAGTTTCGTATTTTAAAATATTTTGATTCATTTGGCAAACGTGTAAATCATTCTCCTATTGGTAATACTTCAAATTATTTAATTAAGGAAACTGTAGCATGGGATAATGGAAATCATATAACATTTAATGTACCATTTGATGATTTAAAATCAATAATTCATCTTGGTAACAAAAACTATTTTTTCTTTTTAATATAGTGTTTTTTTTAGATATTTTTTACCTCGTATAGTCGATTTAACATTACACAGTTCTGATCGTCAAACAAAAATAACAGCATGTGAACTCCTACAATCAATAATGGTTTATATAATTGGAAAAAGAGTAAATAATTGAAGCAACACTGAAGTTTGTTTTGTTCATGAAAATAAATAGATTAGTTTTTTTTTTTATTTAGACTTCTATACTTGAATATTATGTGATTCTGATACTATATACAAATCGAGTCAATTTTTGATACTGATTCAGAGTATCAGATTGATTTTGTTATATTCTTATTTGTCAGATCAATTTTTTTGAAATACCTGGCTAAAAATCATTAACTTATGCTACTTTCTTAAAAAAAACGTGCCACATGGAACCATTTAGGGCTTTAGCCACTATAGTAAATCCTTTAAGGTTTCATTCGTTTATTAATAAGCCATCAAGGCTTCTAGGTACTTTAAAGAGCCATGTCAGATTACAGATGGTTTCAGATGCTTCAAATAGTTCCGTATCGCACCATTTCTTTTAATGCTGAACCTTTTGTTAAAAGACGGTTCTAGTGCAAGTCACATGAACCAAGAGGAATTCTTTTGAATGCGATTTAATTAACGTACATCTACAATAATTTGACTTATTCAATGAAGGCAATAAAACTTAGCCACTAAACACCGTTTAATTCTTTAAAACTAGTGGTTTAACTACCTGTTGAACCGTTCATATAAAGTCTAAAGTATTTTTATTTATTCTATCATTGCATATCTTTCGGTTAGAGAAGACCTATGTCGCGAAAATAGTAACTTTCTTTATAAAATTGGACTAACAATATAAAAACTTGAAATTTATATGTCTACTGCGCAAAATCGTTAGTTTCGCCGAAAATAGGCTTTTCTTGAGCGAAAATTTTGCGGTTGAATAGTATCACATTAATTTTGACGGGTTAATTATTTAATTTTAAAAGAATTAAAAATAAACAGGAAGAACTTAAACGTGTTATTAACAAATTCAATCGTAGCGATCTCTCGTTTTTCTGCTAATATTAAGGGTTATGTGATCAGTGATTTCTTTGTTTAGGATTCATGTATATGATACATCTATAGTTTGACTTCACTTTATCCATCCGCATATTGATGATATCTGAAATAGTTGTCTATTGGGTTATTGCGTTCTAAAATAGTTTAAGCTTAATAGATTGTTATTTCTTTGCTTTGCTTATCTTCTTAAAACGCTGAATTTAGAATTGAAGGATATGTTATGCTAATTCTATATATCAATGACGATCTTTAGTGCTTTAGTCAACAGAATCTAAGTCTCTTTTCTTCTCATTGACAAAATTTTCCGTTTTAAAATAGTTCTACTGTCCATTTCAAAATAAAAGACACGTGAGTATTTTTTTGAATAACTTTTGATAGAAACAAGATACAGAGCTGCGATTTTAACCGTTAGAAAGAGCAGATAAAAACGCATCAAACCATATAAGATAATGACTTTTAGCTTGGATTTTTGAAACCTTTTACAATAGTTGAACAAAAACATGCTTTAAAAACAGGTCTGATTTTTCCAGAAAAAACGAAAAAATCTGAGTTTTTTAACAGAAATCGCTGGCAAAATGAACTATAATTTTTGGAATATAGTACTTAGAACTGCCAAACCAGTAAAGCTTTGAATAAAACGTTATATATAGTTTTGTAGTTCTTGAGCTGGTGATTCTAGTACACTTCTCAAAGTTTGAGATTTGTTCTACCTTCAAAGAGCAATAGTCTACTCTTTCAAGATGACAATGGATCACTACCTATTTTTGAAATAAACCTTAACAATTTTATATGAGTTGATACGCTGAATCAGCCTCTTTCTAACGGTTAAAGCCGCAGCTCTCTATCTTGTTCCTATCAAAAGTTATTCAAAAAGTATCCAAGTGCCTTTTATTTTGAAATGAGCAGTAGGTAGTGGATGTGGGTTCAGAACTGAAGAATACTATTAAAAAACTAGTGTATCATTTATTCGCAGTTGGATTATTCCAAATATCGAGAAACATCGATTACCTTCAAATGATTAGTAACAGTTCAACTTCCAGCGAACGCTATTTGATTAAGTTTTAGATTGATGTCGACCTGACTCTAATGTCAAGCTATGCTTTATTTCAGGAGAACAAACCAGATCTGTGAATGTGTTCGTTCTATGACCAGAAGCTAGGTCGCTAAATGATTGCTGCAGCCTTGAAGAGGTCGGTCTCGCTTGGAAGAGCCTATCTGAGTGATTTCACTCATTGGAATTCTCAGGAAATCTTGATGAAATCGTTAGAACTCGATTCAGCATGTTAAATGGACTATTTTTTTCCGTACAGAACTCGTTTTTGAAGCGGCAAAGAAAGGTTCCATATCGAACTAGTTTTTATTTGAACCATAAAACGTTCAGTATGACATCTTTGTTTTTTTACAGAGCACACAACCTATAAGCACCGACTTTCGTGATGTGGACAGTGTTTTTTCATAGAAGTCTTTATATCGCTTTGTAGCTCAAACAGTTGTGAATCGGACGCACTAAAGCTTTCCCTCTTAATATCTATTACAGATTTGAAATGTTTTGTGAAAGAATGTAACCCTGCCATAAAAAACACACTCTTTAGTGATTGTAAGAGGTAGTATAACTTTTGATTGGTATTATCTAAATTTCAATCTTTTTTTCATTCAAAATTATGCCAAAATGTATAGAAAAAAATTCTCTTTCAGAATCATTAATCATAGAAATTTCAGAAGACATAATTAGCAAAAAAGCCTGGGATGATCCGAATTACCCTAGATAAATTTTCACTATGAAAACAGTAGTGTCCGTGTCATAAATGTTGCGTTACAAGCATACATCAATTGACCGAGATATTTTCAGATTCCATAGAAGTCATTTTAGTCTATCGAATGGTATATTTCTGATTTCATAGAAATCAATAAGAAAAGAGTTATGACATGGGAAAATAATGTACTGTCATTTCTGCTGGAGTGATCCGAATTATCCCATATGGGGTAATTCGGATCAGTTCACTACCGCTTCTGTCATTTTGACTGATACTTTTTTTTCAGCCCATGACTTTTCGGAGATTCTTTCTTCAGTAGACAGAGGACACTTTAACCTACTTATGCTCCAAAAATCACCGCGAAACGATATAAAATATTTGAGAACAAGCAAAAATAAAATAAAATAAATTTTCGATTTTGTGATCCGAACTCCCCCAGAGGACTCTACTGTTGTCAATACCTTCTATAACTGCCTCAAAACTAAAACGCCAATTTTTCGAATGATATAGCTATTGCTTTAGGATATCTTACGGCTTTGCTGAATTCCATTAGAACATTTCTTTTGATAAGCTTCTAGTTAAAACGTGCATATTACTTTGTCTATAGAGTTCCTTAAATGAACTGAAATACTGATTTGATATTTCATGCTAGCTTGGCTGTTGTTTTTGCTGAACATGACCCCTCATTAAAGTCTAGCGCGCACCGATTCATTTTTCCCTTCCTCTTTTTAATCTTTTTTATCATTAGGCTAATTTTGTTTTTGAACGTCCTATAAATACGCTGAAAATCTAACACGTGCTAAATTTTATGAAATATTTACTTTGAACAATAAATATAGGTTGCAGTATGAAAAGTGTTACATTTTAATTAGAGTTTATATTCAAATCTACAAGGTGACCCAAAAGTCGCTTTACAAAAAGAAATGAATGCCTCCATTATGGCTCGAGCAAACGAGCTCATTTCTTTATCAGTGATGGATGTATGTTCAAATTTTATATACATAAGGACATGCTTAGAGAGACCGTTCGTTAAGTGTATTTTTTAAAATGCTATTTGTGAAAAAAGTAAAACTTTTTTTTTGAAATCACTGGTGACGCTTAACGAACGATCTCTCTAGGTTTGTCTTGATGGATGTAAACCTCGAATCTACTTTCATCATTGACAAAAAAAATCAGCTCTTTTGCTCGAGCCGAGCCGTAATAGAGGTATGCAATTTTTGCCCTGAAAAGGCTTTTACGCTATCCTATACTATTCACATCACAACACAAGAAGAGTAAGTATTTTTGAAATAACTTTTGACACAAACAAAATAGAAATCTATACGTTTCACCATTCGACAGGAGAGATGAATCTGCATTGAAACTCTTCTTTTAAATATCAATGACAAGCTTTATCAGTCTATTGAGCCGCGTTTTCTGAAAAGCATGATTTTTTTTTGAAAAAACAAAACTGGTTTTCTATCAAAAAATACGAAAAAAAGTCAATTTATTTTAAACCTATAACTCGACACTCTGACAAAGCTTGTCATTAACGTCTAAAAGAAGAGGTTCGATATAGATTTATATCTACTTTTGAATGATGAAAGTTACAGATATCTATATTGTATCTGTTAAAATTTATCTCAAAAATACTTACTTTTCTTTTGTTGTGATATGAATAATAAACGTGAATAAAAATGGCAACAAAAAAAAAATTAAACTTTTTTCTTTTGATATACTGTTCATACTTGAAACTGCATTTGTTGTTCGATATTAATTCATCATAAAATGCAGCGCGTTTCGGACTTTCTTCCTACATATAGAATATCGAAAGACAAAAGAAGTCTAGTAATAAAATTGATAGGAAAAAAAAGAAGGAAAAAATCAGTTGGCGTGTAATGTATTTTTTAGAAATAATTTTTAATCGACCAACACGATTAATGATCTCAGATAATTTGAAGTTTCTCGTTGTTACCATCGAAGTACATTATACCAGTCCTGGGAATCTTGCTAAAACAAGTGAATTTAGTACTGGTTAATGACTTTCAAATATTTAATGGCTTTCTTTACACCTTACGGAAATTAATTAGTGATACTTAATAAATTATCATTGTCACTTTTATTACTGATGGTGCTACAATTGTAGAATTATTGAACAAAGCTAGATTTATCAGCGAGTCTCATATAAACTAAAAAGCAATGAATTTAAAGAAAAGCTCGTCATATTTATATGATACTTGCTGATGTTGTCTGAACTCTTTCGAAGAATCTGATGGTAAAAATAATTGTCAGCTATTTACTCTTCATGCGTTCTCTTATCTTCAAGGGTACAGTTACCAATATTCTTGATTAAATTGTAGAATCGGAA